CTCATTGATTCCGTGGCGCAAATCATAACTAGAAATGTTCCTGGAAAGGTTTGGTTCGCGTCCTTGGATTTGAAGTATGCGTTTAGCCAGATGCCATTGTCGTCGCTCACTAGCAGTCACTGTAATTTCAGTATTCTATGCGGAGAGGCGACGGGTACGTACCGATTCAAGACCGGATTTTATGGGTTGACCGATATGCCTACCGAGTTTCAGAAGGCAATGGACTGATCCTTACAGGGGCTAGAAGGTGTTATTTGTTACCTTGACGATATACTGATAGTCACTAAAGGAGATGTTCAAGATCATAACGAACTGGTCGAAAAGGGCATGCATAGATTGGATGTGGAAGGATGGGTTCTCAAGTAACTTGGCTTGGTTATGACATTAATGAGGACGGTTACTCTCTTAAATGCTCAAAGATGGAAGCCATACGATCACTCGAACCACCGAAAACATTAAAGCAACTTCGTTCCTTCATGGGCACGCTAAACCATTTGCAAAAGTTTATTTCCGATTTGCATACGCATACTGTTCATTTCCGGGCATCCTTAAAAGCTTGTAATAAACAGTCGTTTTTGTGGGGCGAGGAACACGATAAAGCCTTTAACGACATAATCATTATGATTGCGAAAATCCCGAGTCTTTATCACTTTGATTCATCAAAGCGTTCGAGGGACAAATGCGATGCTAGTCATAATGGTTTAGGAGCTTGCCTCGAACAAGAAGTTGAACCGGGAGTTTGGGACCCAACTGCTTTTGCTTCGCGTTTCCTTAGCAACGCGGAGGTTAAATATAGTACAAATGAATTGGAGTTATTGGCAATCGTTTGGGCCTGTGAACATTTCCGTACTTATCTGTTAGGTACCCGTTTTCAAGTGTTGACCGATCATAAGGCTATCATAACAGCTTTGAATGAAAATTATAATAATAAATCATATTAGTCTCGGGTCAAGGTGTCACGCTGGGGATAGTCGATTATTTATCACGTTATCCTACGTTTCCAGCTCCTGAGCCCTCTAAGTATGATGAACTTTTCGTAGTTAAATCTATTGAGGCTTTTCATAAGGCCCTCTCTTTTATTAACTCTCCTAAAGTTTCTCCGGTGGGGGACCAAAATTATTTGCCGCCGCAAGAGGGTGTTCAATTTGTGTCTCCGAATAATGAAACTAGTTATTTACGTCACTCGCCGGTTGGGGGCGATGATAATGTTACTCAATGATTCAACCAATCATATCGTAGTATGCAAATGGTTGGTTTGCGTTTTTTGTCGAAAGAGGGCGTCGACATATGCTCTCACGCATTCAGCCAATCAGAAACTGATATGCAAATTGATTATCGCAGACCAGCCGGTGCTTCAATATATCACTGTCTCCGACCTGAATTTCTACAAAACAGTCATTCAATCTCATCTTCTTTATTCTTAAATCAAAAAACTTTCGACATGACACAACCGCCTCGCACTAAACAAACTACTACCGAACCCACTACTATCGACTTGAATGCAACTATCACTCAACCTGACCCTCAGACTACACTTAACTCAACTGCCGAGCAGACTGACCTACTGACATTGGTGGAGTCTTTTTCGATAAGTTCCCCGAATTTTCGCAGACCCAGTCCAAGGCCGCCAATACGATCTCGTCAACTGAACCACATCTCTCGGTTGGATCCAATTCGCCACCGTAACCGAACCCGTGAATGGGCTGCTAAAACCCGTTTTATTGCCACCAGGACTACCGTTCTTAAAGATGGTCACACCCAACTACTGGAGGCGATGCGCCCGTGCCGCCTCACCAAGCCAGGAATAGTCAACACAGCCGCGAAGATTGGAGTAATCGCTGTTAATGGGGGTAAACCTCTTCTTTCCTCGTCAAAGAAGGAAATCGTGGGACTGCCCGGCCTCTTCGATGCAGACCTTCTGACGGAGTTGACGGAGGAGGATCGTTTTCTTGGCCCTATGAAGCGAGCGATCACAAATAAGGACATAATATCATTCAACAAGGTTGGTTCGTATATGGCCCAATTCTGGCTTAAAGCAGCTGTGGTCAATAACTGTGTAGTTATCGACAATAAATTGGCCATACCAGAACCTCTTCGACAAGCAGTGCTCACTCGTCTTCACCAATCTCACCCGGGACAAGAGGCCATGATGGCGGCCTCTGAATACCTCTGGTGGCCATTCATGAACCGTCAGATCATTGACACATGCGAGAAATGCCGAGAATGCACTTTGTTCGGTAAGAATCTTAAACCCGTGTCAACTTGTAATACTGCGCAACCTTTGCCTGTTTTGTCTGGACCTAATCAGGAATTACAACTAGACTTTGCTGGTCCCATACTTGATGATAAAGGGGCTAAGATCTTTCTTTTGGTAGCAATCGATCGGTTCTCTAAGTTTCCTTCGGTTCTTATTTCTAAAACTACTGGGGCTAAGAAGGTTACTAAATTCCTTGATTCCTTCATTCGTATTCATGGTCTACCTCACTCTATCAGAACGGAGCACGGCTCAGGTTTTAAAAATAACTTGGTGCAAGAGGTTTGCTCTAGCAGAGGTGTTAAATATTTCCTCTCGCCGGTCGGAGATCATAGAGGCAGTGGTTTGGTTGAACAAACAATTCAGACAATCAAGAGAGAACTGGGTGTTGCAAAACTCGATCCTAATTTCACAAAACTTAAAGAAACGATCCAACAAACACTTGAGGACATTCGCAAGAGTATTTGGTGCTTAAGAACTGCATTTTGAACTGCATTTTGGTCGTAAACCTAATACTGAATGGTCTCAGGCGCGTAATAATGTTGTTAAATCTGATACTTCAGCTCAAGCACTGGAGCGCAACCTCCTTACGCCAGACCAGATTGCCAGTCAAGATTATAGCAGAGACAGGGCAAAAGTTGTTCCTCGCGGCAGCACTAGTCCAACAGTTCCTCCCCGATTCAAACCTTTGTTCTCGCTGGACGGAAATGTGGCAGATAATGAACCCTACAAGGCGTTGACGGAACCCGCTCGGGCGGCAAATATATGGTCCCAATTTAAACGCAATCTTCCACCAGATGGGGGGAAAAAGGTCCTCAAGGAGTTGGCAACGCGGCATTCGGACCTCGCTCATTCCCTTAAGTCAGGACTCAACCACAACACTCTACGCTTCCCGACAATAGTGACACCTCCGGGGGCACAAGGTAGCTCCAGGTGTGCACCTGCTGTTGCACCTCGTCGCCTCTCGAGAACAAGTAAATTAGAAAACCTTCTGATGTCTGATCCTAGTCGAGTTAAGGTCTTTAGGAAAATTATCGATCGTCATTCAGGGAAGCCTCTTTGTAAAATGACTAAATTAAAGATTGTTCGTGTTACGGATCATGCTTAAGTTACCGACTCTGGGAAAAGTTTACCGGAAAAATCACATCTGTCTTAAACCTAATTATCGGTCTACCGTTTCAGTTGCTCCCAACACTCTAGGTGATCGACTCCAAGCTTCTAATTCTACTTCTGCCTCTCGGCTTGCTGCTAAAAGGCCCGTTACACGGTCTCAGCCGGTGCTACTCGATCAGCGGCCGAATAACCCAACCCTCTCTACTCCGATGGTAGACCTAACAATTGACTCTTCCAGCGAAAGCTCAGTTGGATCCAATGGTGGTCTTCACGTGATTAACGATCCCTCTCATATCGGAAAACGTCAGAAGTTACAATGTGACTCACCTCCGGTCAGATTTGCTCCTCAGCCTATCTCTACATCGCAGCCTCATACTTCAACGAAGGATACATGCTCGTTACCACCCGACTCTACCGCACGCCTTGACAATTCGTTAACTTCGCCTCAACCGAGGACTTCACGTTGTGCTGCCTCTTCTTCGACGTCAAACCTGGCTGATTTTCCGGGCGTTAATGCACCTCGTTCTGGGATTACTCCTTCTTCCCCGGACACGATGTCGCCATGAGGTCTGGCTCTTCCCTCTCATCCGGAGTCATCAGAGCTGCCCTTCGCTTTCTGTACCTGCTCAACCAGTGGTTGACGACGCCGAGTCAGTCCGGACGTCACATCGTAGCAAGAAGCCCACTCAGTTTTTTTGCGATCCGTTGCGGCATTCAGTTAAGTCAGTTGAGGAGGACCCAACTTTGCCCTCCGAAACGGTGTTAGTACTCTCGACCTTACCGCGAAAACCCCTTATTCGGGATCGCTTTCCGCCTGGACCTTCAATGACAACTTCTCCCCCTCTCAATCGTGTAAACAAAAAAAACAGGAAAGGATTGACTCTAAGTCAAGCTCGAAACTCTTCAAAAACTCTTATAAACTCATTCAACCTCTTGCATGTTATTAAACTTTTCTGGCTGACTGTTCAGCATTTGTGTGGGATAGGGGGGGCTATCAATCATTTGCTCGTTTGGGTGCAATTTTTTTTATTTCTTAAATTTTGGGCTATCTCTCAAAATTTTTCTCCCGCAAAATCTCTCAAATTTTTTCTCCCTTCGGTACCTCGTTATTTAATTGTTTTTTTGCAGTCTCACTGCAAATTGATGAAAATTGTACTAGCCGATGTCATTTTGCTAATCCATATTTAATACCACGCAGAGCGTGTTCATTCTCTATCTGATATCAAATACTGTTTGCTAGATAAACTTTATTCAACCTTAAATTCATGTTCATTCAGGATAAACTTCCTATTCCGAGTATTTATTCGAATCCAAGTATTTATTCGAAACTAAGCTATAAAGTGATTCAAGCAACTAAATATTCAACTCTAAAACAACTTACTTATTGTTCAACAACCAAGTTTCCGTTCTAAAACCTCGGCAAATCTCATTAGCCCATTATTGCTCCCCCTTTTTTCGATCGACCTACTTCTCTTCTCGATATTTTACCCACGCTTCAAACATCTAAAGGGTCGTAAGAGAAGATAATCCAATTTTTTTCTGAAGTAGATGTTGATCTACAAGCAAAGAAACCTTAATTAGTATGCAAACAAAGTACGCTGTCACAAAAACTTCCAAGTTATTATGATGGCAGGTTGCGAGTGCGTGCAAAAAGGACCACTTGTCCGACAGAGGGACTCTTTTTGCCCAGCTGGAGGAGGAGATGGGAGAGATAGGGGAGAATCTGGCATTTGCAAGTGGCTTCCAGGGCAAAACCAGGCATGTGGGACGGCTAGTGCTGGAGTGGTACAGGGAGATCAAACAGTACAGCTGGCGACAACACACATGTAATCGTGAGTGGAGCTGCAGAAACAATTATTGGTTTCTTGGAATATGACCACAGTTTTGATATTCAATAGTCTGGGAAACAGGACGGAAACCGCTCAGCGGAAGTGTAAGGAAGGGTGGAAGGGGAATAGGCGCCCACTCCTCCCTCGAAATTGCTTGCCAATGGTTTTGAAAGGGCCCCCTTTGGAACTAGTTTGAGACATCATGTTTTGAGCGCCGACCTTTTTTTAATATGAAGGCAGCCTGCTGCCAAAATTGATCAGATTCATAAAAAAACATACTATTTGCAAAAACTATGCAATTATTTGGTCAAAACTTTTTCAAATTTGCACATAAACGAAAGGTCTTTTTAGGGTTTTGGTTATGCTCAAAAAATTAATGATTGGCGTTTGAAAAAAGCCGACATCAAGTTCAAAGATGTGGAAGCAGCACTGCCAAGTAAATGTAAGATAAAGATGAAGAACGGGGACTTAAGTGGTTTCTGTTACTGTATATTCAACTTTTGTCGCAGTGTCTGAGTGAATTTTGTCTTTCAAATTGTCTAAACCGGCAGAACTGCTATTTTGAAAAAAATTGCATGTGTCTCCGGAACCGGGCATAGCAAATTGCAGAACTGGTCAGAAATCTTCAAAAATCATCTGCGGCGTACAAAACAAATTTTTTTTTGCAAAAGTAGGATGTTACTCACATTTGAAATGATCGTGAAGTGAGTTAAATTATATCAAGCTTCATTGGAGTAATAAAAGGCGTATATTTTGTAAAGATAAAATTTGGGCACAGAGAGAGCTTCATGACAAGCATTTTTCCATAAACAGAAAGTTGAATTTGAAAAAAATAATAAACTTCTGAAAACTTTGATTTTGTTTGTAAGACCGACAATGGTTTACTCAAAACTAGATTCACCGAAGGTTGGACGGTCTTGCATTTACATAGTAAACGATCTGATTTGTCTTATACAAATGATTATAACGAAAGTAACAAACTTTTTGAAATTTGAAATAATTGAAACTAATCAGGCAGTGATTGTGAAAGATGAAAATTTTTAAAATTCGAAATCTTTACTAAATCTTTACTTCTATGGCATGTTAGTGTACGCTTTGATCAACGCCTGGTTAACACTGACTACTTTTTTTGCCTGTTTAAGGTTCATTCTTAGATTTTTGACAATTTTTATGATCAGAAAGGTATATGGAAAAAGTGCGTATCATACAATTTCCATATATGGAAATTGTATGACTAGATATTTTTCCAGAACTTTGATCTATGGAATTTTTTGGATAAACATTGTGGTGTTTGAAATTGTATGGCAGGCATTTTCAGCCCCGGATAAGAGGCCAATAAAACGAACAAAGCAACTCACTGTTTTCAGGCAATTCCTTCAATTAAATTTAACTACGGCTGATGCGGGGGGATAGTGTTGAAGTGACTTGCATGCGCAATGAAAACAGTTACTCACTTTGATGCAGCGCACGCCCCAGTTTGAGTAGGGGATGTAGCGATTTGCATGCGTTCCGCTTAGTATGCTCAGCTAAAGACTTAGAGCACGCATCAGTTTGAACTTTTAGTTGCAAATGGCACAAAACAAACTCAATTTTATCTCATTGAAAAAATGACAAATTAGCATCGATTTAATTTAAAATAAAAATTTAGCTAAAGCAATCAATATCAATCAATTCTAAATCGATTCTTTTTAAAAAGTTTTCAGTTTACTTTTTGATTTTCACTTTATACTCAATTCAATTCTTTTACAATTGATTTTTATCCGCCTTTGTATTCATATTATCACAAGTATACGACTTGAATCAATATTTATTCAATTACAAAAATTTAGATCATATTTGTCAACGTTTCTTGTACAAATTTTCTACATTATGTTCTACAAGATGTTTGGCCAGAATGAAGCATAAGCCTCACTGAAAACAAGAAAACAGGGTGCGTTCTGGTGAAAACTTATTTTTCCCAATTATGTATTTAAGTACTTAGTGGATTGAGTAGCAAATAAGGATATTAGTACAATGAAAAACCAAATCATAATTATGAAAAAAAAACATGTGGGAGCTTTTAGTTATCAATATCTTAAAGGTTTTCCCTAACAAGGATGGTTCGCTGTAAATAACTTTCTCGTTTAATATTGCGCTCTGACAAAAACATGTATTCAAGACAAGTTGAAGATCATATGTCTTAAAAGTCTCTTTGTTGAAGTCAAATTTATTACTATTTAGTTCGGAACAATTTATGCCATTAGTAAAAGATTTTACCGCATTTTTCTAGAATTAATGTGAGAAAATTCATGTCATGAATATCCTCGGGGGAGGGAGATCTTATTTGGAACCAAAGGGGAAGGGGTTAAGCCCAGTTTTTTTGTTGTTGTAGTACAATTGAAGTGGTCTTAAATCTTCTTTTTTGGTGATTCGAGGGCAAGTTCCACCGCTGGTCTCGTTGAAGTACATTCGCAACTACCTGCAACAAAGTTTCGCCATCATTGGGCTCCGCAGAAACACTCAGACAGATAAGACATGCTACTGCAACACAGATAATACTGCTTTCTCTGCAGAAGGTTCTAAGGCAAAGGGCTACATCCACTCATGGCCGACTTGCCGCCAACTCGTTTGGGCGATCCGTCTGACGACCCATTTCCGTTCAAAAAAACAGGAATTGACTTTATCGGGCAATTCTACATCGCAACAAAAAATACAACTGAAAAAAGCTATATTTGCCTCTTCACATGCCTCTCTACTCGCGCGGCTCACCTGGAATCGACAGAGAACCTTACTACGAACAACTGTATAACGGCAATTAGACGTTTCATTGCTAGGAGAGGCACACCTAAACTTTTAATCTCTGGCAATGCTACTTACTTCGTCGGCGCCGGTAAACAACTACACTCAGAACGAATCAACGAAACTAACCTAACTGAAACTCTACAAATCCACAAAGTTGAATGGCGCCTAAGTCCTCCGGCTGCCCCCATTTCGGTGGCCTGTGGGAACGACTCGTCCCAATGATAAAATGAGCTTTCTTACCAAATCTCGGTTCTGATCGACTATCCAGAGATCTATTTGCTATCGTCGTAGCCGAGGTTGAGACAATCCTCAACTCACGTCCGGTAACGCTAGTCAGTGGTGACCTTGACGACAACCTTCCACTGACACCCAACCACTTCTTAATGGGTCGTCCATTCGTCTACGCTCCAGCAGCAGCCTTCTACGAAGCATCTACTAGTAAACGGTCTAAGAAGTCCCGGAAGCGAGCAAAAGATAGACTTGACAGCTTCTGGAGGTGTCTACTTCAAGAGTACGCTCCGACTCTCATCAGAAGGACTAAATGGACGCAACCCGAGGAACCACTCGAAAAAGATGACCTCGTGTGGATACTTGAGGACTTAACACCAAGAGGCATCTGGCCACTGGGTCGAGTGGTAGAAGTTTTTACCGGCTCTGATGGCATCGTGTGCTCGTGTAAACTGAAAACAGGTACTTTAACGAGACCAGCGGTGAAACTTGCCCTCGTATCCCCAAAAAAGGAGAATTAAGACCTATGTTTTAACTTTCTTGGTCGTATGTTTCGACTTGACCTATGTTTTTCGACTATGTTTCGAACTTCTTGGCTGAAGTATGTTCCGACTTGACCTATGTTTCTTGACCTATGTTTCGACTTGACCTATGTTTCTTGACCTATGTTTCGACTTGACCTATGTTTCTTGACCTATGTTTCGACTTGACCTATGTTTCTTGACCTATGTTTCGACTTGATCTATGTTCCGACTTGACCTATGTTTCTTGACCTATGTTTCATTTTGACCCAAGTTTCTTGACCTATGTTCCAACTTGACTTATGTTTCTTGACCGATGTTTCTTGAACTATGTTTCGACTTTCTTGGTCGTAGTATGTTTCGACTTGACCTATGTTTCTTGACCTATGTTTCGAACTTCTTGACTGAAGTGTGTTACGAACTGACCAATGTTTCTTTACCTATGTCTCGACCTTCTTGGACGAAGTATGTTTGAATTTGACCTATGTTTCGACCTTCTCGACCGAAAAATGTTTCGGGTATATTTCGACTTGAACTTTGTTTCGACTTGACCTATGTTTCTTGACCTATAATTCGACCTTCTTGGCTGAAGTATGTTTCGACTTTACCTATGTTTCGTCCTTCTTGACCGAAGTATGTTCCGGGTATGTTTCGACTTTGTGCTTGACTTAAAACTGCCTTTAGACCGCGGAATTTCAGTCGCAAAACTGTACTTTCTCGGCTTTCAAAGTCGAAACATATCGCGAGCACTTCCACCCGGGTAATTAACGCACGATTACAAAAGCATTTCAAGAAAGCGAAACTGTTTAGAGTTTGAATCAAATTTGTTTGCTAGCTTCATGGGCGTGTCGTCATCTAACCCAAATACTCTGGGCGGACACCAAGTACATAGGGTGTGCACAGGAGAAGTGTGTGAACACTTGGAAGAAGAGAGGCAGGACACGGACTTGGACCAACTTTGTCTGTCACTACAACATAGCCGGCAACTGGTGGGGAGAGACGCCATTTGAGACGATCCACACATATGATCCACAAAGAATGTGTCCAGAAGAAGGAACCAGGCTTGATGATGTTTATGAAAATTTGTGTGTAGAGATATAGGTTTATTCATCGAATAGCTTCTTGAGTTTGCTTCAATGGAATACGTTTTAATTTCTGTTTTTTTTTCTGAATGAAGTGTTTGAAGAGCAGCTTGAAAATTATAATGAAGTTTCCTCTGCTTTTTTATTTTTTTTGCCAGCCTTCGCATAGCTAGCTAATCCAGTTTATGGCAATTTCGGACGAAAGCGCAATTCCATGGCTATTTCGAAAAGAAAAGATGTGAAACATTTGTGCTCAGTGTTTTTTTTTCTGACTGTTTTGGTTTTTTTACCAGCTAACTTTGCGGAACTATCTTCGAAAATATAGCAATGCCTTGAGCTCAGACTAGGTAGAAATACAAAACTTGCCCTAGATCAATGGATCAAATGCTATTGATTAAACTCTTCTAAACTATGAAAATCAATGTTTATTTCAAAGTTGGATCAAGATTACCAAGAATTGCAGTATTTGAATAGATGACATTCCAATCCTATGAGAAATTTTACAAATGAGTCCAAAAGCATTTTTGTGAATTATCATTTATTCGCAGGACCAAAATAGTAGCGTTTGTATCACTCGAGTTCCGAAATATATGATAAAAATTATCTTTATTTTCTCGTTTTTAGTTGCTTGTGGCATACTAATTACAGTTTTAATTTTTCTGTAGTCAGTGAACGACACTACTTCGAAAACTACTTTTGGCGTTGTAGTTTTTGCCAATTTTAAACTTTTTTGTATATTTGCACTCAGAAAAACCCATGGTTTTCTTGTCCTTGAGAAAAAACTTTTTGCATTTGGTGACCATTCAGATATTTCGGAACTGCGACAGATCCCGGAGAAAATGTTTTATTACACTTGTCAGGAGTTTCGTCCAAATTCTTTTCAAACATTTTCTTCTTTCCTCTTATTCGCAAATACTCAATGGCGTCGAAGGCAAAATCGACAACTTCCAAAACTGTCAAAACACTCACTCCCAAATAGAGTCCCAGAAGGCCGCCAAAATTTGAGATAATCAGGACGAAGTTGTAAACTGGTCGCTCAACAATAATTGCTTCTGAGAGATCACGAAAGTACACTGTCACACTTCCAAAATTTGACCTCAGTTGAGTCAATGCTTGCTGAGTATTTTCTTTTTTGTCTTCTGTGTATCTATTGATAGCTGACACTAGATAGTTAATAGCTGGTCTGCTCAGATCTTGATACAAATTGGCTACAAATCGAGCAATAGAGCGATTTGTTGGCCATTCAAGCTGAGTGATCTTGACATCATAAGACTCGACATGGCATTCGTTTGGACATTCGCATTCTTTGTTGGGGTTTGAGTTCTCGTTTATGAAGTCAACGCAAGCCCGTTGCTCTTTTTGGTCGAGAGAGCAAAGAGGAGCTTGATGGACCATGAGGTTATCGGAGCAGCCACATTGCTCTACCTTCATCCTGAAATTTATTAGGAACTAGTGAAAGATTTAGAAGTTTGTAGATATTTTTTTCCACAGCCTGAAAAACTTCACTAAAATCTAGATAACGGATATATGAAAAAGTAATTGATATGACAAAATAATCTAGATTAGAGGAAGGGATCCAAGCAATGATTTACTCACAAGTCCATGCATTCCTTCAAACACTCATCACGGGAGTTGAATCGTTCCCAGGTGCCCTCGCCATAATACTCGCATAAACTGAATGGTTTCGCTAGTTTCTGAATATAACTGGGTTGCACGGACACCAGATGTTCAAACCCCGGCGGGAGACTTAGCTCACTTGTTTGGTCCACAAAAACATTTCCATTCCTATCAGTTTTTCCTGGAGGAGTAAGGAACAATTTTAGACCGGAAGTAGGTGTAAACAGACCCAAAGTATCGTACACTTCAAGGTTGAACCAGATGCTCAGACCATAGTCTTTTCCGCTCGTAGAAATAGGATCTTGTTGTGTAAATGAGAAACAGTTGCCATACTCCTGTGACACTGTGATGTTAACTACGACACTCTCGTTGCATACTTTGTTATTGGCCCTACATTTGATGACCATTTCCTAAAAAATATCAAATAAAGCGTGGCCATTTGGTATAGAGTTTAACTCATGAATTGAAACAGTACATTAAATGAGTACCCGGGTTGACATAAAATGCTTATCATACAATTCCATAGTATGGAAAAATTGCTTATCATACAATTCCATACTATTCCATAGATTGAAAAAAATGTGAGAAATTAGCATCAGAAGCGATTTTTCAGATTATGGATTTGTACGATAGACATCAGTATATTCAATGGAATTGTGTGACAAGCCATTTTCTCCACAACGTTTTTTTTCGCTTAACATTTGCGTGTTGCCCGGAAACACAAACATCAAAATTTTTCTGAAATGAGAAAGCCAACAGGCTAAACTACGTATTGATAGCTGGCAAGTAGTTTAACAACAAAAGTTGGCACAAAATTGCAGCAAAATTGCAATTTTTTTGTATATGACTTTGAGGCCTCTATCGATCAACTCAGATCTTGATAATCGTGGCCTGTTTTTTCGACAGATTTAAGGTTATATGTTACCATCTAAAACTGAAGAATACAAAAGTCTGCCATCACAGAGATTGTCCATAGTAATCCATGATGAACTTTTTTTGTAGAAAAAATTGTGCGTGGAAAACGATAATGGCAAAAATTTGACAGCTTTGCATTCAATAAAAAAATCTGAAACGTTTTTTTTTTTGTTCTTAGAGCTGGTTAAAATGAGATGTAAGTTATGTTCGTCAGTTATTTATGGGAAAATGCTAATAATACTGCTTTTATAAATCAAAAAAATTTGATTTAATTTCAAAGCCTCATGAAAGTTTTTGTGACAAAACAATGAAAAATTGTATATCAAACACTTTCCATACATGGGAATCGTATGATTAGCATTTTTCCATAAAGAGCATGCATAGAACTTTTTTTGATTGGAATTGTATGAAAAAAAATATTTGTATGGAGGTTATCTTGATTTTGCGTGATTTTTTGATGAAAGGATAAAAACAAATGTGTTGCAATAGTTGGTTTGTTCATCTTGCATGTTAATTACTTCATGACCATTTGAAAACAGTTTTTAAAAACTGAAATTCAAAGTTGTAGGGAAAATGGAAAACAGCCAACTATTTCCATGCCTCGACAATCCGAAAAGAAAAAATCTTCTGCGTTGATTTTTTAAAATTATATAACTGCTCGAGTTTTGCCAATGATATTTTGGAATGATTAATGCATGCTCAGTACAATGCGCACATCTTCAGTGCATAAAATATGCTCAGATATCTCCAGTTTCAACAAAAGCTATACAAAATTAGTTCATATCCTGCGATACTAAAATCAACTTATATCGAATAAAAACACTTGGGGCTGCTTGTTCTGGTAAAATAATTTTGTTTTTTAAGCACTTTTGATAATTAAAAAGCAATTTTAGACACTTTTTTATGTATCGCTCAAAATTGTGCAGTTTTTGTTAAATGCCGCTATACAAATTTGCATGGATTTATCTTGGTGAACATTTTTTTCCCACTTAAGGTCAAATTTCGCTTCATAGAGAGTTCCAATTTAAATTCAGGAAAAAAATTCAATGCAATCTTTGACATTTTCAATTAAATTCAAACGTTTCTTGAGATATAACAAGAAAACAAACAAAATGCAATTTTCTACACAACTATAAACAAAATCATATTTTACTTACTGTCGTCAGGCAGTTTTTTTATCAGAAAAAAAACTTAAAATTAAACAAAATGAAGTACAAAAATTTATTTAAATTATGAAAATTTAAAAATATTTAAATCACAGGTTTCTTCGAATTTTTTTGAAAGTTCATAACTGCCTGCTGGTAGAAATTTCTATTTTGCAAGTCATTTAATCGACATTCCCTAAGAATGAGAAAACTCTAGTCTAACTCTGGCAATCATGCGTAACTAACTTCTGGACTTCCATTGTGGACAATTTTGCTTCGGTCGCAAAATTTTGTTTTGATCTTGCAGGTTGAAAATCTATTGTGGTATTGAAAATCTGTTGTTGCAGTTGTTATTTTTATCATTCAGCTTTGTTTTGATTCGTTAATTGCGGTGGTTTTTGGAAATTAATATTAACTAAAATACTTCATTTCTAATTAAAGTTTTTGTTATGACCACCGAAACTGGAGTAAACATTTATTAGGGTCATTATGTATCATCGGGTGTGTCTAAGAGTTTTTAAGTTCTTTTTACCACGAATATTCAAGTGCGACAAATGACACATAAACACAAAAAAAAACGAAAAAATTTGACAATGTTTGATTCAAACTAGGTTATATAAACTTTCATATGTCTGGTTAGAAGTTTACTCCAGGCAAATATGTCAAACACTTGGATTTTAAATCAGCATCCAGGGAACCCATCTTACAAAAGAAACAAAGCCGACAATCTTTGAGCAGACACAAGTTGGACCAAAAAATATGATGTCATTAAAAAAGTTTAAAGTCCTCCTTAAACAACAAGTGTAAAGACTTGCACGTGCAATTAAAATAGATTTCTTTACAGCTCAAGAAAATCAGTAATGTCGCAACTAAGCCAACAATCTTTGAGCTTAATCAATTGAGCCGAAAACAAAATGTTTTTTTTTTTAAATCTTTCTTGTGTCCCCCGCACCTGAATTTAGAATGAACAAGACATGCACTTGCAACTACAATGAAAACTATCTACAGCAAAAGCAAAATCCGTTCTGTTAAATTTGAGTTTTCAAGAAATTGAACATGTCAATCAGCAGCATAGTTACCAAATGATTCAACTGATGAATTTGTTAAACTAGTAATTAACTAGAAAAGTCTATATTCCAGTTTGATAGCGCTTGCTAATCGCAAGCGTAAAAAGTTAAAACCTTCAAAGAAAACCTAAATTTCGAAATATTGATTCACTGTTCAACCCAAAAACTTCACAAATTTTGCTTTAGTTAGGACGGATGAATATTATTTTTTCTGTTTGCGTCGTTCATGATTAATTTTTGTTCAGTAGCACCGTTTTTTCTGAATTTTCTGCAGTCGCACCGGCTGCATGAAACTTTTCTGGTGTCGCGGGGGAAGAATGAAAAAAATGCATTTCGGTCGCGGCGATCTGACAACATCCAATTTTGTCGCAATAATCTGGACACAAAACCACAACATCGCCCCGGGATAGAAGCATCTAAAGTAATTAATTCAGAGTGAAAAGTATGTCCTTTACCAAAGAGAGGACTCATTGCACTCACTTCATATTTGTGTCCCAGTGAAGAAACCTCTTCTTTTGATGCCATACTGTACCAGCGCATCTCCACTGGTTTGCCCAGAAGATTCTGGTACTCCCTGAACTCGTCAGTATCCTTGGGCGAAGTCCAGTTGACCAAGTTGTTCTTCCAAACACACGTCTCATCCACTGCCTTAAACATAGTCAGGTATCAAGTGATTGATGACTGAATCCGAATCGAGCGAAATATAGTTGTTTTATGTTGAAACGCGGTGATCATAATAAGATGTGTCGCCCGTAGTGATCCAAAAATGTAATTTTACATTAGGACTCTGGGATATCGTTTGGGACAGAGGGGACTCAAACTATCCATTAAAACAGCGGGAGATCTAACTGGGTTGCTGGCTTGCTTAACCTGTTGTAATGTGGGTTGGTTTATACGATTCGATATTTATATGATTGGAGGAATTTTTTATCATAGAAAATTGATAATTTGCGACTGCCGTTAAAAAGAGCAAAAATAACGAGAGTGTTTCTACTATAGCAAAACCTGAGTGCAGAAACTGCATGGGACTTGTGAAAAATGAAACAAAAAATCTCAGTTTTTGATCTGATAGAACAAACTTTTTCAATCAACTGGCCTTGTCATTAACAAATGAAGGAGCTAAATGAGAGCAAAGGGGGTGTCTTAGAACTATTTCTGCTGATTGTGTTTATAAAACCTTGAAGCAGTCTACTCTTCCATCGTGCACTTTCTCATTGGGGATCCAGATGGGGTATTTATAGTACTTCCATAAAGAGGAAGTACTGGGGTCATGACACATGGTCTCGTTCGGATGGTCCGAGGCCTCTGAACTTCCTCCTGACGGACATGCGGGTCCGAACTCATCTGAGAATTCCCGAGGACAATCGATGAGGCCGTCACATACTTGGTCAAGGGGAATTTTGCGATCGGAAGTACAACAAGTGAATGTATGTTGCACTACCTCAAGGTCACAGAACTCATATTCTTCGTCGGATCCGTCGGAGCAGTCAAATTTGCCGTCACACCTATTGTTCAACCAAAAAAAAAACTGTCGAAACCCGTTTCGTCAACTTTTAAATTTAACAAATAGCTGAAACACATACGCTTAATCTGATCTGCTTTACGGCGAGTCATATTGAACAGTGTAAAATCAGATATTATTCATTTTAGTAAGACTTATTTATTAACTAAATTGTTTAACTAATGTTCAATCTGTTCTGCTTAATCATGGAATCAAAAAATGGAATAAAAAATGGAATCGAACGATTTTCTTGAAATTTGCGTCTGGGAGGTTTTTGATGCAACACCATTTGGAGCATCAAACTTAATGGTTGTCTTGCTTAAGGAACATTTAAATTTATCAAACTGGCAATGCTGCACTGATTTAATTTGTTAGCAAAAATTACCATGATTTTAAACGCGCTTTTCGCAAAAAGCGTTGGTTGAAAAAAAAACTCGGAAAAAGCAGCATAGAATTTGACCAGAGTTAATGTTGAAACATAGTTTGCGAAGCTCGGTTGAACATAATTTTTCTGAAACTTTTTTTTTGACAGAAATTTAACATGAAGTAGTTCAAAAACATGCACTTTAAGTGTTTCGATGATAATATAATCTTGGAAAACCGAACTGTGCAGGTATAGTATGTAGGCCAGTAAATACAGTTTTTCAAAATATGCAGCTTTTCGATGATACCAATTTTTTCGCAAAATTGCTAAGTCTCTGGATTTAACCAATACGTAACAAAAACATGTTTATTGTTCCAATTTTGAAGAATTTGAATGAAAATTACTTGTTGCACTGCTTTTTGCACCTGACAGAGTTCAATTTTCCACCTACTCATTTTTGATGGGACATATTTGACGATGTATTGAACTCAAAAAACAAGACAGCTTGTAACAAAGCAAAACCTTGAACGTTCCAAATGCCTTTTTTTGCCTATTGAGCAGTGCTCGCTTAAAAGAACTGATGAATCGTTCAAACAAACATAAACAAATTGTTTTTAAGTTTTTTTTTGCCAACAATATTTCACCACACAGCATATAAAGTACCCAGTGTTATAGTTTGTTCCTGGTAACGTAGAAATTCTGACAAAAATATACTTCAACCAACTCGAATGATTTCTAGAACGGATTAAATCTTCGCTAACGCGTTATTAGCGCAAAATATATCGCGCGTTGATTGTCTCAAATTAGTCATATTGACAATCTTTTCAGTTCTGATTACATTGAGAGTGATCACAAAAGATATATAAATATATATATTATTTGTTACCATTTCTTAGGGACTTCCAAATTGGCCAAGGAATTGTGTAACAAGCAATCTATTTCGTCGCAAAAAGCGTGAGCTGAAAAAAAAACTTTCAAATTGAATTGATGCAATTAGTAAGCGCTTTTTCATAAATTACCAGGCTCAAAATATATCATTTTGTTCATTTCGTAGCGCGTGGGGTAAAACAAGAAAGAAATTCAACAATTTTTTCAATCAAATCATCAGCTTGTAAATTTTATTTTCAACAAATTTAAAGAGTTTATTGTTTTTGTCAAACTCATTTAAGTTTCGGCCTGAAACGGTCATTGTTTTAACACAGATTTTTGAATTTTGAGTATACTGAGTCATAGTGTCAGCAAAAGTAGCAGAAAAAAGATTCTCAAGAGGCTTGGCAATCACATTATTTAATCATATATACTTGTAATTTTTTATTTAGAAAAAAAAACATTTTTCTACATCTTTGTTTTGAGTTAATCAAAAGCTACCGTATTCTAATGAGTCATTGAGTGTGCTTTTTCTATTACAGTGGGCCTCTTTTGTAGCGCAAAATATGATATTTCAGGTATAGTCTTCCAATTTTTGTATGAAGCTCTTTCGAAAAGTATCTGCCATAATTTTGTAGATTATACCCTTTAATATTTATCATATACAATAGGCTCATTTTAAGGATTGTTTGATCAACAATTGACCCGATAGTTCTTGCGTATTTTAAGTTTGTCTAAATTCAGTGAAAACTGATTCAACTTCAGCGTAAAAATTAAGATCTGAATTTTGCAAAACATATTGCATCAAAAGAATTTTACAAAAATGTAAACAACTTTCGTTTTCGCCATTTTTTGCTTTAGGTATTTCTAATTTGAAAAAACCGCGTTTTGCTCAAAATTTGTTGGTTTCCTCTGGATAACTCAAATCAGCGCTGTACCTGTCATTGCTGTCACATTTGTCTAACCTCAACGCCGGATCGATGCAGTCTCCACTTTTGCACTCATAGTCGGTCTGCTTGCAGATACTCCCCCCACAGTACTCGGGGTCCTCATCTGAGTTCTCGGAACAATCGTCGTACAAATCGCATATCCATGTGTACACATAACAGAGACCACTATCTTCCAAACATTCGAAGTCATTGTGTTCGGGTGGAGCAGTTGTTGTGGCGTTGTCGTCAGCATCTTCTTCGAAAAAATGGCATCTGGGAATCGGGTCACTTACCTCAGGTGCCACAACTCCTGTCGTCGTTGTGGTTCCTGTGATTTCGGAATCTGTATCTTGAGGTTCTGGTGCAATTAGCAGCTTGTAAATATCCCGCAGACCAATTGAGTTGAAATCCTCAAAGGTAACCATCTTCATCAAATCCGAGTCGTTTCTGTGGTAATTTCTCAGCAGGGATTCCTTGATTTTGTTGGAGTTGCACATGGTGACAGTGGGGAAGTCCAGTTGGTCTCTGTGGGTGATCTGCAAGTTCACAGTCACTGGGTAAGTGTACACGTCTATCATCATGTCTGTGATCTGATAGAGGAATGCCAGTGAACACACAACTACCGCAACTAGCCAGAAGATCTTCCGGTGGAAGTTGGTGTACGAGATGACCTTTGGTATCCCATGTGCGGTGCATTGGAGCAGCCATGATCTGAATATCCATAAGAAACTGAGCATTTCTCGTGAGTCATCATTTGCAGCTGTTTCCATTGCACCGCCTCCGTCAAAACGCTTAGACATGACTGGAAAAAGTTATTTTCGATCAAATTTACTGTAAAATATCAGTTTCAAGGAACTGAGGCTAAAGAATATTTTGGACGAATATAAGGAAATTTTCCGGCAATTTATAGTTTGTTTTCGACAAATTTATATAGACGCCGAAACTCAGGTTAAAATTACCTTTGTCTAAATTATTGATGCTGAGTTGTTTGACCACATTTTCTCTCTTGACTTCAGAAAAGAAAAAAACGGATACTGACAGGAAAACTCATGTAAATTAAATTATACATAATGGGACAAAAAAGAGAAAATTATGACATTTTTTTCAAAGCATTTGAATATATTCATAACTTTCCTTTGACGGAGTTTATATTGACGCCAGACAACTCAAATTAAATATACAATTGTCTAAATTATTGACGTTGAGTTCTTGGGTTGCTTGACAGGAAAATTTCACGATAAATAAATTACACAAAATCAGACAGAAACAATGGAAGAAGATAAAATTATATTTCAAGCAAAGAATTTTCGGAAACAAGACGGCAGGAATGAAGCAAAAATCCAATGATGTTTGTTCGACTAATTTTTCTAATAGCCTATGGTATTTTGCTCACAATTACTCTTTGTTCGCTGAAAATAAATTGCATATCGGTATTCTCTATAGGCATCACTTTTAATAGTTCTTAGCTTAATCTGTTATACTTCCAAAACGCTTCTTTTTTCATCAAACCAGTGAGGTTCTAAGAAATATTTGTAATGGGCTCTGTGAAGAAGGCACTTTTTTGTAATTCTCGCGACTATCGTGTCAAATATTTTTATGCTCCAGGACGCATAGTAAGCTTTGCTGAAAAACTGCATGTTTAACTGCCTGTTTTTCCGGCTTTCTGTGAAAGATAAATAGATTGGGTGTGAGCTTTGCATTTTCTTCATCAGACAAATTTTAGCTTTCGGCCTTTTAAACAAGCTTTTTCAATGTTATTCAGCTTATTCAATTGTTAATAGTTGGATCCTTTGAGATTTGTTTCTTTTGATTTTTGAAGAATGTGACGAATTGTTTGTGCTCGGGGTAATTGTTTTCCAGACACAATTCGATTTTTTAACAAGCCAATTTTGAGAGATTTTCTGCATCAGCTGTGACCTTTTTTGCATGTTAAAAGGGCTTGTAATTCTCCAATTACCCAACTTGGGATAACTAAAGCGCAGTACGCTTCGTGCTAGTAGCACATAAGCGGCGATGACATCCGAATCAGAAACTGCTTCAAATTGATAGAGCATGCTAATTCCCGCATCCAGTTTCCAGCGTTAATTATCCATTATGTCATGATTTCAATGCCAGTCTTACTAAAGTTGAGAAAAAATTGAGTTTAAAATCAAACGTAACCTCTCTTTTTGGAAAAAATATAGTCAATTGTCTTACATATTCACCACCCGCAATGAAGTTCTATGGAAAAAAATCAATTATAATGAGTTTTCAAGGTCTTTCTCCATATAATTCTGAAAAACAATTTTTGAAAGGATATCTAATCGATAATAAAACTAACAAAGTAGGTATAAATTAATCTATGAAAATGGAATATGATGGGTTACAATGAACTATGATAGATTATAATGGATATATTGGATTACAATTAAATTTTATGAGTAAGGGCCTAAATTTTTTTAAATTTTTGAAAGTTAATAATCAAAGTTTGAACGTTGCAATCGCTAAGTTTTATCTTTAATTTGGCTGCAGCAAAAAACTGTATTGTTTTGTATTTGGCTTCCTGCTATCACAAAATACTTACTCCAACACCACAGTTTTTAATTTCTTATTTCACCGCCCTTCCCTCCGACCACTTATTCCTAGCGAACATAAACCGTAAAAGTGCGCAAAAACAGGTGCCAAAAACGCGTTCTCTTTAATGCATCCCCTCCAAGACACACACACACACCTCCAATTCCCCTTTAGACCATTACACAACCCATCAAATTTGCAGCGGTGTCAAGTCGTTGTGGAAGGGGTAGGGTAGTTGCTGGTGGGGATAGCTGTGTTGTGTGTCACGTAGGTGGAAATAGGTGGGGATTGATGTATGTGGGGCAGGTGTGAAGATAAATGTGGTTAGGATGGTTGTAAACTTGGGCGTCTTCAACCTGGGTTTAGAATGTGAGAGATGGTTACGAAACTTTTAATTAAATCCGTGTAGGCTTAAAAAATGAGTAGGTCGTGAGTAAAGCAGAAAAAAGCTGCAAATCTTGAGAAAACTTGAATCACTAAGAGAGACTAATCCATTATAACCCAATATGATGAAATTTAATTATTCAGTTTCTCGGATAAAAATGGATTATAATGAAGCATAATCAGTTGTGTGGATTAAAAGTGTTATTCTAATTGTTTAGAATGGCATTTTTTTGCCCACGAAAATCAACCTGAACCAACTTTTATCCATGGTAAAAATGCATTTGTTTACATTCAAATATAGTCCATCATAAATTCTTATCTCGTTTAACTTGTTTGTTATTCACAAAAACATCTTGTAAAGATTATAAGAGAAGATTCTAAAAGTTTTGTTTGCCCATTTTGCTTTTGATCTTGCAAGCAATTTTCGATCAAAACGCAATCAAAAATTTCTGTTTGTTTTTTCCTTTTTCTCAATTAAAACTGTTTCATGATGCGCACTCATAGGTGTTGTGGCCACCAAAATATCAGCATATTGTTCTAGTTACATAATTTATCTGGAGCCTTTCCTTTCAGCTAATAACGTTCGGCCCTTCCGCGAGAAAATTTAATCTAATAGCAAGAGATTAACTAAATTATGATAAAACCTCTAGTTTAGAGAGGTGTATTATTGACATGAAACTATATACCCAAACGATAAACAAGACTGCTCGTATCAGGGCGAAGCCCTGAATGTTCCGACTGCCTTTTAATATTTATGGAGCAGTAATAACATATAAAAAAAATTGAAGGTAATAAAATAAAATGAAAACTTTTTTTTCTGAAATTTGAAATTTTTTTTTAATGAAAATCATCTCCCCAAACGCCATATTAGGTACAAAATGATAGATTTTGCTCCTTGTAACAGATTAATTATGGCAAATAAGCTCCTTTTAACCAATTTGGAAAAACTTCTAAGACGGAATAAATCTCCGCTTACGCGTTAATAGCGCGAAACTTATCGCGCGTTAATTGTCCCAAATTGGCCAAAACGGCAATCTTTAAACCCCCATAACTTTACAAAAAATGATCACATGTAAAATATCTTTTCAAATATAAGCTCAGGACAACAATACCTTTTGAATGATATAAAAAAGTTCCGTCAAAAATGGCTAGGTAAAAAGTCGAAATTCGTCTGAAGAAAAAAAACTCACCCCGAGCACAAATATTCCGTTACTTTCGTATCGAAAGTCGGAACAATAAGCATATATACTTTTCGTGTGACATTGAATAAGATGTTGTGATCAATTATAACCCATTTTTTGAATTTTTCTAAGCCAACTATAACTAATTATAATGGATTATAAGAGATTACAATCTCAAGGAATTACCACAATCGTAATTGATTATAAGTACTTTCAACAACTGTTTTTGATAATTAAAATCAATTATAACTTTCAAAAGTCAGCATTTCAATCCGTTATAATCGATTGCTTAAACTCAATTTCGCAAGCGGCTTGTTCGAAATACTTTTTGATGAATTTGTCCGTTTAAATTTCAAATTGATTGGTGGTGTTCAAATAGTATGTAATCGATTTTAATTCAGTAGTTCATCTAGTTTTCAAGTTGAACATTTCTGTATTAAAGAGAAGTAAAAATTATCAAGGGCTCGTCCTGATTCATAAATGGGATAAGAAAAATCATTAAAAATCGTACTATATGTGGTTAATCTAGGACAATTAGGGTTTTTGGAGGCACAAAGTCAGGAACTGCTCACCTAAACATCCAACTACACCCCTCCTAACACAAATAAAACTTTCAGATGCACAAAGTCAAGGATATTTTTACGGCTTCGAGTTGAAATACGGCATTGCAAGTTTTCCACAACTAAGGAACACAACTTAGGTTTTTGGAGCCACAAGGTCAAGAACAGCTAATGTAAGCAACCCACTAAACCCCTCCCAACACAGATTATTTTTTTATGACAAAAAGTCAAATGATAAATTTACAGTAAAAAAAAAACAAAACAGTATTGCAAGTTGTACTCAACGAAGCTGCTACCAACACAATTAGAACTTTTGGAGTATTGCAATGAGAAATAACTTGCTTAAACATTCAACTACGCCCCTGTGAACAAAACTGAGGTTTTTGGATCAAAAAGTAAAATGATGAAACTACAGTATTAAAAACAAAACAGCATTGGAAATTGTCCTCAACAAAACCACTCATAACAAAGTTTAGGTTTTTTTAGGCAGAAAATCAGAAACAGCCCAAGTAAACATCCAGCTACACCCCTCCCAACACATATAAGGTTTTCTTAGGCACAAAGTCAAGTGATGAATAACAGCAATTAGTTGAAATACGGCATTGGAAGTTGTCCGCAACTAACCCCCTTCTAACAGAATTATTGTGTTTGAGGGTAAAAAGTCAGGAACAGCTTACCTAAAGATCAAGCTACGCCCATCCTAACACAACTAAGATTTCTAGAGACACAAAGACAATTGATAGTCTTAAAGCTTTAAAGAACAAAACGACATTGCAATTGTACTCGACAAAGACCCCCTAACACAAGTATATTTTTTGGAGGTAGAAAGTCAAAAACAGCTCATGTTCACATCTCAATAAGCCCCTCCTAACACAAATAAGGATTTTGAAGGCAAAAAGGCGAATGATCAAGATACAGCATTGAAGTAAATTACGACATTGCAAGTTGTCTACAATTAAACCCCTCCTAACCCAATTAAGGTTTTTGGAGGCACAAAGTAAGGAACATCTCGCGTAAACATCCAACTACGCTCTTTCAACACAAATAAGTTTTTTGGAGGCACAAGTCAAATGATCTGTTTATAGCATCAAAGTAAAGTACGGCACTGCAAATTGTCCACAATCGAGACTCTTCTAACAAAATTAAGGAATTCGAAGGCAAAAAGTCAGGACCAGCTCACTCAAACATCCAACAAGGCCCCTCTTAACACAACCAAGGTTTTTGTAAGCTCAAAGTCAAATGATAAAATTACAGCATTGAAAAAAATACAACATTGGAAGTTGTCCTCGGCAAAGCCCCTCATTCCAACTTTTGGAGGCACAAAATCAGGAACAGCTCATTTAAACATTGCACTAAGCCCCTTCTAACATAATTTAAGTTTTTGGAGGCAGAAAGTCAGAAAAAGCTCACCTAAAAATCTAACTACGCCCCTCATATTGCAACTTACGACCCTCATAACATTTACACCATTAATCTGATGATATATGGCTATGCAAATATTCCATAATTAAACGCGTCCTGACACAATTAAAATTCGTGACGGAACAAAGTAAGGAGCATCTCACGTAAACATCTAACTACGCCCCTTCAACAAAAATAAGGTTTTTTGGAGGCACAATGTCAAATGATCTGTTTATAGCAATAAAGTAAGATACGGCCTTGCCTGCAGGCTGTGCACAATCAAGCCCCTTCTAACACAATTAGGAAATTTTGAGACACAAAGTCGGTAACAACTCACTCAAACAGGCCCCTAATAGGCCCCTCCAAATAGGCCAAATAGGCACCTCCAAATAGGCCCCTCTTATCACAACTAAGGTTTTTGGAGGCACAAATACAAATGATAAAAAAACAGAACGACAAAACAAGTTGTCCTCTACAAAGCCCCTCCTATCACAACTAAATATGTTAGAGCCGCAAAGTCAAGAACAGCTCATGTAAACATCCCACTAAGCCTCTCCTAACACAATTAGGGTCCTTGGAACAACTTCAGGAACAGTTTACCTAAATATCAAGCTACGCCCCTCCTGACACAATTAAGATTTTGGAGGCACAAAGTCAATGATGAGCTTACAGCATTAAATTAATATGCAGCTTTGAAAACTGTCCAAAATTATGCCCCTCCTAAAAAGGAATTTAGAGCATATAAGTAAAATACGGCATTGCAAGCTGTCCAAAACTAAGCCCTTCTTAACTCGAAGATGGTTTTTGGAGGCAAACAATTAGGAACAGCTCGCCTAAACAATCAAGTACGCCCCTGCTAACACAACATTACGCCCCTCATAACACTTACATCCTTAAAGGAAAATAAAGATATGCAATTTGTCCAAAACTTAAATCTTCGTAACACAATTAAAAGCTTTGAGGGTACAAAGTAAGGAACAGTTCACCTAAACATCCAGCTACCATCCTCCTAACACAACTGAGGTTTTTGGAGGCACAAAGTCAAATGATAATTTTAAAGCTTTAAAAAAAGAAAACGACATTGCAAGCTGTACTCGACAAAGCCCCCCTAACACAACTACATATTTTGGAGGTACAAAGTCAAAAACAGCTCAAGTTAACATCCCAATAAGGCCATCCTAACACAACTAAGAATTTTGAAGGCAAAAAGGCGAATGATCAAGTTACAGCATTAAACTAAAATACGACATTGCAAGTTGTCCACAATTAAACCCCTCCTAACACAGTTAAGCTTTTTGGAAACACGGATGCAAGAAAATCTTTTCTAAACATTCCACTAATTTTTTGACCTTCTAAGTAGATGATAAACGGCGCCCTCTTTCGGCCATTGATGTGATAACTCTTATAACCACATCAGGTTCAACACTGAGGACAGCGAAGTCATGTGTAATTCTTTGGCATAAAACTTGAGTGTCACGGGGCTGACTATCGGAGTAAACTTTGGAACGAATCCATGACCACAAAAATAAATCGCAAGCAGTCAAGTCCGGTGATCGAGATGGAAACTCAATGAAAAAGTTCAAACCAATATCTCTGTTAGGAAACATCAAGCTCAACTGCTGTCGGACAGAATTTTTCTGTGACAAATGGCCCCGCCCCATCTTGAATCCTACAGTATCTTCTGATTGCTCCTTGATTTTTAATGCCAAATTTGGCTAAAAACCGATAGATAAACTTTTGTAAAATAGAGAGGTACCCGCTGCTCAATCACTTTTCCATCGTCGATCAATGCTCCAAAAACGTGGATTGTTGTTCTCGAGCTGAAAAAACTGTCTCTTGTAAAATTTCTTGGAGTGCTAGATGCATAAAGTCTGTTGTTTTTTGTGGAAACATTTCCATTCAGAGGAAACGCAGCCTCAACGCTCCCAATCACGTTATCAAACCCGAACCGCTCCCCCAAACAGGTTCAGAAAACTGTTCGATTCTTTGGAAAGTTGTTGATTTATGTCGATAGTCGTGGAATCAGTGCGATTTGAGCTACATTATTTGCAATGTTTCCTCTTGACCTGGCTGTTCTTTTGCGTCCACTTTTGTTTTCGTTATGATTTTCAGAGCTTCCCTCAGTGGTGTACTTTCTGTAGTACCCTAGAACTTTTTTGGCTGAAGGGGCACTCCTGATGGGGAGTTTGGTAGCAAAATGATTAAAAACAGTGGATGTGTTTCGGTGGTCATGAAACTACTTTCAAGCATCGTTGAAGTAAACCAACAGTAAGTGAGAAAACGATTTGCTGCTATCTTGTTATTGACGCATGTTTTCACCGTCAAAACTTCACGACACGTATTTATGTGCCAAAAGTTGATTCTCCAAACTTGAGCTAGATCGATTCAGTAGGTTTTGATACACAGACTTTTTTTCCTTTATTTTGGGCCGCACTGTATTGTATTTTTTTGGTGATTTTGATAGTGTGAGCTTGCCTAAAACAAACCGTCAAATTGGGAACGTAAAATTATTGAAGACTTTTCTTGCCGTTTTTAGACTTAATTTTTTATCAGTTTGAACACTTCAGGATCTTCGAGGCAACTTTCAAACAGAAACTGTCAGGAAATTTGTGTTTAACGAAGAAAATCTTTTTGACCGACAGCATTTCGTTCGACAGTAGATGGATAATCTTCTGTAAATTTCAGGCGTATGTAATGTTTATCACAAGAAGTCTCAAGTCTACTCAACCTACAAAAGATTTCGGTAAGTTATGTTTTCGGAATAATCTATAATCTATTTAAAACGTTGTTTTAAAGAAATAATCTATAAAAATATCAACGCCAAGACACCTTCCGGTGAACGAAATGACCCCAAGTCAGTATCAATCAGGGGAGCAGTGGTGAAGTGGTTACGTCTCCGCCTCTCAATCGACAGGTCGGATGTTCGAGGCCCACTATTAGCCGTGCTCGTTGCTTGAGCGTGAGGCAACATTACCCAGTCGATTGAGTAATGTTACCTCACGCCCAGAAAAAATAACCAAAAATGATATTTCTAACTCATGCCCAGAAAAAATAACCAAAAAAATTGCATGTAGTTCTTAAGCAGGGGCACAACAGCGGGTCGCCGTGATGAGCTGTACAGCTCGTATGTTGGTCCTATCCCTCGTGGATAAAATAAATCGAGACTGTTTTTGATCACCAAAAGAGTCACGTTTTCTTGTTCGGACCAGATACTGCTTTGCTCAAAAATGAACTTTTTTCATAGTCAATTTTTGTCCGAAATTTTGTATATATTTTTAAATCAATAATCTAATAATTGATTCTCTGGGTATTCTCAGCTTCTTTTGCATTTAATTCTTAAATTTTCCTTTTAAAAATAATTGTTGGTAAAAATTATGGTAAAATTGGTTCTTGATCGTTTTGTAGAGTTTTTTATTTGGTTTGAAGTTTCTTATTTGGCTGTCATACAGAGCAACACGTGTTACGTGCGCAGTTTTGTGAAATCAGTCAACCATTCACCCACAATGTTACCACGTACATACTTTCCACAGCTTTTCATGTAAAGTCGAAGTATCTGTGATGCGGTCCACTTATTCCAGCTCGACATCTGATAGGTGAATTTATTGAACCATTATGGAAGCATGTGTTATCAGATAACACGCGGATGAATCTTTTTTTGTTTTCTGTTCTGATTTCTGTTTGAAAACAATTTATGAGTTAGAAATAAAACTACCAAAAAACTTTGTAATTAGTAGTTTTAAAAAGAAGCAAGTGGGGATTTCATACGGGGCTAGAATGGCGAATTCGTTTGAAGCCTTGCACGTTGATCCCAAAATGTTCAAGGACACAACTCCCTTCACAGATGAAGGTCAGAAATTGACCCTCTCCTGGCTCAACCTCAGCTACAAGGTCAAGTTCGGAGGGGGCTACAAGTACTTAGTGCAGGACTTGAGTGGGATAGTGAGGCCTGGGGAGACTCTGGCCATCATGGGACCCTCTGGGGCTGGAAAGACCAGTCTGATGAATCTGCTGGCCAACCGGATCAAGAGCGGAGTCACTGAGGGGGAGATACTGGTGAATGGGAAAGCGAGAAGCAAGGTGGGATTGAATTGGCAAAACAGTTCATTAAATGAATATTTAACTTTTGATGGAATTGTTTTTTTATACTTATATTCCAAAAAAAGACTGAGAAATTATGCTTTTTCATTTTTAATATGATGTCTATACAGAGTTTTTGTATTGCGGCTTTTCGTATGTTTGAACAAAAAATTTGATCAGTGAGTTGTTTTAAAATGTCACAAATATTAATCACAATGAGTTTGCTTTTTCGTATTTGTAGGACTTCACGTTCCAGGCGTCGTATGTGGCGCAAGAGAACCTGTTCCTGGAGATATTCAGTGTGCGGGAGAGTCTGGAATTTGCGGCCAACCTGACCATGCCGTCCTCCTCCACCAAGAAGGAGAAGGAGGCCAAGATAGACGAGGTCGTCAAGATCATGGGACTGCAGTCGTGTAAGAGCTCAAACAGTTTGTTTTTATGGGAAACTTCGCCAGATAAATGCAACCAGGTGTAGTGGCCTCAAATCTAAAATTAAAATAGAAAGTATTGCCTCAACGATAAGTGTTAATGTAGGATTGTGAAATGCAGATTTGTTTTTACTTTCCATGAATTATCTTTTTTTTTCTAATTCACCGGAATAAAGTGGTCCAATCAGGGGCGGATTTAGGGGCAGACGGGGGGGGGGGGGGGGGTTGGATGACGCCCTCATACAGAGACTCGACTCTCTACCTACACAAAGGGTGACCCCTTGTACTATTTTGAGATATCAGATGTTGGTGACTGATCCTAAAAACTTTCTTAATATACTGAATTTGAGGGGGGAGCGCGCGCCAAAAAAAACGAAGTTTTTTGGTCAAAAATTTACCTCCAAAAAGTGTCTAAAAAACGCTTTTTCGTCCTAGTATTTTTTCATAATTTTGCCTGCGGCGCAGGAAAATGTGGCCAAAACAGGGTCTTTTTATAAAAAAAAAAGTTTGACAAAGTTTTCGAAATTTTTTTGAAAATCCGCCCCCAAATCGCCCCCAAATCTTAGATCTGTCCCTTGAATTCGACAAATTGGACCCAGGGGCGGATCTAAAATTTTCTCGAGGTGCGGGTGGATTTTCAAAAAGTTTTCGAAAATTTTGTCTACTTTTTTTTTATAAAAAGACCCTATTTTGGCCAAATTTTCCTGCGCTGCCAGCAAAAATTTATGAAAAGAAAACAGGAAAAAAATGCTTTTTTAGACCGTTTTGGAAGGAAGTTTTTGACCAAAAAATGCGTTTTTTCGGCGCGCACTCGCCCCTCAAATTTAGTATGTATTGGCGCCGATAGCGCCTTTAGAAAATTTTTTAGGGTCAGTCACCAATATCTGATATCTCAAAATAGTACAAAGGGGGGAGTCGAATCCCTTTGGGCCGGCAGGGAGTCGAATCCCTGAAGGAGGGCGTTCACCCCCACTCCCGTCTGCCCCTAAATCCGCCCCTGATTGGACCACTTTATTCCGGTGAATTAGAAAATTAGATAATCGATCTGACTATGGAATTATAAATTTCTCATTGCAAAGAAAATTTACTAAAAACTGGCTAAATCAAATGATGACGTTAAGGCAATAATTTTGAATTGAACAAAAATCGCCTTAATGACAAACTATTGTCATTGAGGTTCCTTTGAAAAAAAAAATAGAGTGCGATTTTTCAATCAAATTAAATTTTTTTCTTCTCTAACAGACAAGAATGAAAATTTTACTTAGATAATTTGAAACTAATTTGTAGTTTGTCTACTAAGTAGCAGTGTTGTAGGCGAGAACACCATGGTAGGCGGTGGCTTCTACCGGGGTCTCTCCGGTGGTCAGATGAAGAGACTGGGCATAGCTGTCACTCTCCTCTCAGGCGCCTCCATCCTGTTTCTGGATGAGCCCACTTCCAAACTAGACAGTGCAGCCGCATTCAATGTAGTCCAGACTATACAACAACTGGCAGATCAAGGTACGACTCGTTGTTACAATTTCGAAAAACAACCAAACTTTTTTGAAATTGTAATTTAAACGTTCTAGAGTTTCAATCTATATTAGGAGGGCTTTCAGATTATTGCATGGCACGCTTCTATCAAACGGATAAAATATGCATCCAAACAGAATACTTCGCCAAATATTTACAACAAAAAGATACCTTATTTCGAAATAAGTATTCAACACTTTCTTCGAAAGTCGAAACCATAATTCCATTTAGCTACAGTGACTCTATTGCTCGACTATATTCCAAATTATTGTTTCCATTATAAGCAAATTTATCGGCAAAAACTTCTTCGCCAATAATATCCAAATCTTTGCACTTTACTTATCGTGGGCTATTGTGTTGCAGGGAAGACAGTAATCTTCAGCATCCATCAACCATCTTCGGAACTGTTCGCATCCTTAGACAAACTTACCATTATTACCATGGGACAAATAGTATACTTCGGAGAAGCAAAGGAATCACTAGACTATTTCTCTAACTTGGGCTTCCCTTGTCCGAAATACACAAACCCTGCTGATCACTTTATCAGCCTCGTCAACCCCGATTTCGGACATTTCCCTAATATAGACAAGATCATTTCAAGTTACAACGACTCGAAATTGGTTCAACGAATAGAATCTGAACACCAAGAACTTACTGAAATCCCTCAAGCACTTATCAACAAAAACAGAGCATCCTTTCTGACGCAATTTGCACTTTTGTTCGAAAGAAATGGCAGAAATACAGTATTCAACCCGAAAGTGTTCAGAGCCCGACTTTTTTCGAACTGCTTATTTGGGTTTTTGTTCAGTTCTCTTTATAGCTTGACACCTAGGGGCGAGGTACCTGCCTTTGCTATTACTGCTTTATTTTTCACAATTATGAACCAATTTGGAACCCAGACCTTAGCAGCTCTCCCTTTTTTTCTCGCGCTCCGCCCAATTTTCGTGCGCGAACGATCCAATGGAATGTATAGTGTGCTACCATTCCAACTTGCTAACTTTATAGCCACAGTTCCGACCTTAGCCATTTACAGTCTAGCCGCAACTTCCATTTTTCATACCTGGCTCGGACTAGCTGGAAGTTATTACTGGTTTTGGCTCACAGCTTTTTGCTTATTACTCTGCACCGAATCCGTAATGCACATTCTAAGCGCTGTCACCCCTTATTACGTGGTAGCATACAGCATAGCTGCACTTTATATCATCTTTTTTACTTGTACGGCCGGATATCTGGTTCCCACAAACCAGTTGATTTACATTTTACAATACAGCTCCTATGCCTCTTTTTTCGTGTACTCATTCCAAAACTTCATCTATAACGAGTTCAAGGACACGCCTAAAAACTACGACGTGTTAATCAGTTATTCCGCTGAAGATGTTGACATGGAGTTGAACTTGCTAATAATGGGCGGTTTTGTCGTGGTGCTTCAATTTATTTTCTTTCTATTGCTTTTCTTTTTCAATACAGGAAAGCAATGAAGAAAATTATATGATCTTCTACTTAAATATATATTTTTTTCAAATCGATCGTCTATTTATTTCTATATTCTATGTATTTTTATGTTATGTTGCTTTACAGTAAAAATAATTTCACTTCAAATGATGTCGTTTTTCGATTGACTGAGTTAGCACCATGGATTTGCTTCCTGAGGAAAACATTCTGTCCGTAGCTAAAAACATTCGTCTTTCGATTAAACTGTATAACTATTTTGTACTCAAGAAACCTTGAGCAACCTGTATAGAAGCTATTAAGCAATGCTTTAACATGGTGGCCAGTCAAAAAGCAGAATGGTCTAAGAGCAAAATGGGTCCAAGAACAGAAAAACAGAAAAATATCAATTTTTATAGGCTAATCGGTAAATTAATTATCAGAAATTTCAATAATACCAAAGCAACGAACATTTTATGCATAATTTGAGCAATTTAATCAAGAGTTTAAAAAAAATCTAATCAAAAAAGTTCTAATCAAACATAATTTAGTTTTCTTGGTATTTTTTGACAATTCTAATAATTGTTTTTATCAATTAGCCCGTACAAACCAATAAAAGTCAATATTCTTCTTTTTTTTCTGCTCTTGGACCCATTATGCACTTGGACCATTCTGCTTATTGCTCCGCCTCCCTTTAACAGGTATCGCATATCGCTTCTTCAATGGGATTTCATTTGATACATTTTTTGTTCATTTTCGAAACAAAACAAAACACGAAAAATGGTGGTATTTTTTGGAGGGAAAATTGAGAGGTTGCGTTTAAATTTTCAAGCACATTATCCCTTTCCTAGCTCTAATGGTTATGTAAAAATATTTACAAAGCGTTTGTTTTTTTTTTCGCTGAAAGTTCCAATGATTTCATTAGAGTCTAGAGTGAGCTAAAAGATTCTAGAACAAACTAGTATGTTGAAGGCAAGACGATTGTGTACAGCATCCACCAGCCATCCTCCGAGATCTACTCCATGTTCAACACTCTACTCATCCTCAGTCAGGGCAAGACAGTGTACTACGGGTCAGCCGCAGACTCCGTCCCCTACTTCTCCGCCCTCGGATACGACTGCCCTAACTTCTCTAACCCAGCCGACTACTTCATCTCACTCGTCAACGGCGACTTCAAGAACAACGGCGACGTTGCCGAGTTCATCTCGGGCTACGAGGACAGTGCGCAGAAAAAGGCGATCGAACAAATTGTCGCAAAGGAAAAAGAAGAAGCGTTGCCTCTGGAGCCCCTCGGAGACACGCGAGCCGGCTTCCCGCGACAACTGTTTTGGCTTTTGAGGCGGAATGCGAAGAACACGGCCTTGAACCCGAGGGTGTTCCGAGTACGTCTCGGCATGTATGTCGGATTCTCGTTGCTTCTAAGCTATCTGTTCAGCTCCGACGACAGAAGTGACATTGACGACAGTTCCATAGCTGCTTTGTTCTTCATGTTGCTGTTCTTCTTCGGGTTACAAACAATGGCGGCGCTTCCGTTCTTCCTATTGTTGCGCCCGGTTTTTGTCCGAGAAAGATCCAACGGAATGTACGGCGTGCTTCCGTTCCACCTCGCAAACTTCATCGGAACTCTTCCGATTCTGCTAGTTTGCAGTTCAGTCGCAACTACAATCATATACAACATAATCGGCCTGTACACGAACTTTTTCTGGTTCTGGCTCACAGTATTCTCATTGCTTCTCGTATCCGAATCAGTCATGCATGTTTTGAGTGCGCTCACTGCTCAGTTCGTTATCGCGATCACGTTCGCGTCGGCTTATGTGCTTCTAAACATGTTGACGGCGGGATACATCGTGCCTCGCGGCGACATGTTGATCATCTTTCAAGCAGGATATTATTCCTCCTATTTCTCCTATTGCTTCAAGAACTTCCTCTATTCGGAGTTCCACGACCACAACGCCACCGAACTTCTTGAGAGCTACGAGGCGGATGATATTGACCGTGCTCAATATATAGGCATCATTTTAGGGTTCGCGGGCGGATTTCAAGTCCTTTTTTTTCTTCTGCTGCTCTTTGTACACACAGGAAAAATGTGAGAGTTGAATACCTAATACATTTGAAGTTCACGGGCGAATCTATCTGCTAATGCGGTGTCGGTTTCTCAAAATTATGAAATGTTTTTAAATCTGAGCGTTTTGTTGAACACAAATTCAAACAGCATATTGAGCTAGGATGAAACTTGAGCTAGGTGAGTTTAGAACGTCTCAAAGCAATACTTAAACAGCAAAAAGAGAAATATTCTCTTGGTTTTAAATGATCTTCACAACCGGTTGTTGTATTGAAAACCTCAATAAAATTGAGGTGAATCTTAATAATATTGTAATGAATCGTAAAGAGTTGAGTCTTCGCTCGGAACTTTTATTACTTGCTTAAAAATTCGCATGATTGAAAAAACCTAAGTATTTTATAGCTCGGTTACCAAAATCAAATAAGCCAAGACTATATTCGAATAAAAAAAAGAATTATAAAAAGAATTATAGAAGAATAAAAAAATTGGGCAACAAAATAAGTGCCTAACTTTCAAAATTTCTCCTAATGTGTTCTGAACCAGACAAAACTTTCAATTTGTTTTCCAGCAAGATTTTTTCATTTTAGTTTGAGTAAATTTTTGTAAAAACTCTTTTAGTAATACGCAAGAAATTTAGACAAAAAAGTGCCAAAAATAAAAAATATGAAAAATAATTATGAGAAATCATCAATAACAATAGTTTAAATAAAAGTTTCAAGCTAATGAATTATAATCAGGTTTTTAGAAATGGATTCTTCAAAAAAATATTGGAATTTAATGTTTTCAAATGGTGTATTTAAAAATTTGTTGCTCGAAACTTTAAAGAGAAATCAAAAATCTTCGGGAAACATTTTGATAGCGTTATGTGCTTTCCATTTTCCTTGTTTTCCCATTCCTCATTGTTCAGTTTTTAGTACCGCTATAAAACTTTACGATCAAGACCGAGACGAGCCAATTCCTTGAAACACTTACAGACCAATGGCGAACATCATCAATCGAAATTTTTTCACAAATTTAAACTTGTTTACAGAGCACTCCTTTATCAACTGGTTGATGGAACTAATCAAAAACAAAATCCAATCCTCGAAGGACAATTAAGTTAAACCAGAATCCAAACAACAAAATCCCTTATTAAAACGCACACGAAGGTCAGCTCCGATAGTAGCCGCATCGGTCATCGCAGGCATTGGATTTTTTGCTCTGGCTTCTTATGAGAAATTCAGCAGCTATGGAATAATGGGGATAAGATGTTGCCAAGACCAAGCGCGAGCAATGTCAAAGAATTTTGATTCATTGGAGGAATAGTCAGAGGCCTTATCTGACTATATCTCCGAAAGTGAGACTTTCACAAAAGAGATATTTTTGCCTTTTGCAATGCATTAAACGAATTAAAGTATGTTCAACATCAAATCATTGACAGCCACTTGAAAATTTTTTATAGAAAACCTTGCTAATTTGTATGTTTCTTTTTTCATTTTCAAAATTTGCATAGAAGATTTCTTTTCAATTATTAAATGCTATCAAATATAACGTTAAATATTTTTAACTGAATCGAACCAATTATATTTGCGGAAATGACGCAAATGTTTATTGAAGCATTTTATGTAAGTCGAACAGCCAAACTAGACTTTTGACTTTAGAGGCAATGCGTATTAGGAAAACGAAGATGGGCATGGACAAGCGCGATGACTTTAGAATCAGGGAGTTAAAACTGTAAATTTAGTCCGAAAACATTATGATCTTTTTCAGAAATGTTCATGTCAAAAACAAACTCTTGACTCAGAAACCTCAGACAAATTTTTTTCACTGATTTTATATATTTTTTTTGAGGTAAAAAAAATTCTGTCAACCAACCAAATTGTCATTTTTGATCGTTTAAATTTTTATCATGATAGTAAAGAATCAAAAAAATTTCAAAATAGTTTATTAAAGTGATGTTTTGTTCTCTTTTAGATTAGTTGTTTGTGACAATCTTGATGTAGCACGTGCTTTCAAAAACGTTTGAAATTCAATTCTTATACTTATTCTCGGATTTGCTCGTGTTTCGCTATACTGGCTCTTTTGTTGTATTACGCTAAAGTAATTGTTATAAAAGCTGATTACTGAACAATTTGTTTTACCATTTTGATATCGTGGCCTTTGTTTCTTATCCCGATAAGTGTTTTAGCGGACTAAGTTTGTGTAGCAAAAAGAACTGAATCAAACATGGATTTTTTACCTATGCTTTTTCTGTTCTCGGCAAAAGTTTAACATAGTGAGAAAAGCGACACATTCTTCACTAAAAATCCGAGTTTAGAAACGAATAGTGTACATACATTGCTAAACTAAAATACAATATAATAATCTGAGGAAATCTAACACTAAAACAAAAAAAAACAAGGTTGCTCGATTTCAAATTTTTTTGTAACCTACCATTTTTTTCTGAGGCTGCCATTGTTTTATATTAAAGGTTACGTTGATGAAAAAACATCTCTAGTCTGAACTCGTTTGTTTTGTATGTAAGAGGGTTTGCGAGTATGTTACGATGTTGTTTAATGTTCTAGAATGACTCCAAAAAATGGTAATACAAGAAAATATTGCAGCTTGATTTTGCAGACTGAATACAACGAAAAAAATGCTGTATGAATATGGGTTTTTTATTCGATAAAGTTCAAGTAATTGATGGTTTGGATAATCTAAATTGACAGAGTCTGTTAATCGGTTTTCGCAAACTTTGCAGTAAATGCATGACATATTTTTCAATCTAGGGAAAACCAAATTGGCAAAATTTTTTTAAATTTCAAAATTGAAGAGAAATTCGTATGTAGAACAGTTACAGCAAAGTTTTACTAGCTAACCTAACTGTTTTTAAGTGAAGTTACTAAACTAATTGTCATACCGAATTTAAAATAGCCGGATAGAGTACATTGCTCATGACAAGGGCATTCATTTGCAGCAATCTGGTGTTTGAGTCAGTTGTCTTATTTAGAAAATCTTGTAAGTTTTTGCAAACAGAAACACTTTTTTTATTTCTTCGAGCAAAAAAGTTGACACTTTTTCAAAATAAGAAAAAAAAAAATCTCATCGTTTTCATATAAAATGAAATAATGAGCAATTTGTTGAACGTCTTAAAATACACTGATAATACACTGAAATCTAAGAAATTCACCTAGTTTTGCAAAGTTATAAATCTTCATTCTCTCATTTTTATTTGATTTTTTAAGCAACTTGTACGTGCAAATTTGAATACTTACCCAATTATCATCTTCCTCCATGATATTTTTTACCACAATTTTTTAATGGATTTTTCAAATTAATCAGTTCTTCAAAAACTATTAGATCTTCAAA